GTTCATTTATGTATTTACATAATTTCTGGGGAGCAAAGAGCTTGTGTTTGCACAGCCCTTGAGAGGCATGGTGTCTGCAATCCTCTTATTTCTTTTTTCTCCTTTCTCATTTCTTTTTCTCCATTGTCCTTCAGCTGCTCTAATTCAGTGAAAAATGTTGTTTGAAGAGTTTTTGGGCATTGCTTTCTGCAACAACCACTGCACAGCTGAGCTAGGACTTACTGCCTGTACAGCAGAAAAATAAACTCGGCTAAGGTTTCTTCAGTTTAGCAGTAATGGAGTGGGATTTCTTTTAATTTAGTTAAATACTGTTGCTTGACAGGATGAAATTTGATCTCTAAGGTAGAGATTAAAACTGCTGGACCTAGTGCAAACTATTTGGGGTTTTTAATTATTCTTCTGGTGAATTATCCTAATTAAATTTGTCAGACAATCATAGGATATACCACTTGTGTAGAAACTGATAATCACTGGCCATTCATCTCCTGTCTAGTAGGTATTATATTCTCTAGATAAAAATCACATGAACTGGAAAAGCAGCATTCAAAATATTGAAGTTGATGCACAATCACCTAATTAACTTTTCCTTAAGCACTTGGAGAAACATGGAGTAAGTGAGAAGTAGTGTATTTTACAGAGCTTTTGCCAAATGATGCTGTTGGTCACACCCAGAGTTGTACAAGAACACATTTTCCTGGACGAAGTACCTGGCACAAGATATTGTTTAGAAAGGGAAAGGGAGGGAAGACACAGCAAGGCAAGGCAATGCAAAGAGCTTTCTAACTTTTTTTTCGCTTGTGTTAACAGATAATTGGCCATCTACTGGACAGAATATTACTTCACTATCCTAATAACTTGGCTGTACATAAAAAATCTTTTCATGCTGCAGCTTGGCTCTGAACCATTAACTTTTTTCTTAATAACAGCAATAAAATGAAAGTCAGTCCACAATTAATTCCCTTCACCAGACTTCAGTGACCTAAAATATGTAGCCTCCTTTGGAATTCTGTCAAACTCAGTGGTTTCTGATGGATATTATTTATGCTTCCATGTATGCAAACAGCCACTCATCAAGTTTTTGATAGATACTATTAGGAATTTATATTGTACATGTCTAAGCTTACATTTCAGACCTCTGTGGCCACATTGAAGAAAAGTATTTTTGACTTTATAAACCATCATTTGCAATTTCATACACCAGCTATAGTTAGCAAATAGCTTTCTCAGTTGAATTTAATTTTTTTCTCCATAATAGCCAAATGTCTGTTATTGATAGAGATATCAGAAAGCAAGAAGTAAGACCAGATTAAAAATACTGAATTGCTTTACTCTAGTTAAGTTCCTTGATGGAATGATTTTGAAAAACAGACATTTTAAAACTTCCAGTAACATAAAAAAATCTACATATATTTGAGAACTGCCTTTTTTTTTTTTTTTTTTCCCCCCATGCAGGATGCCAAGAACTATGGCCTGGCTCTCGTGACAGTGCCCTGCTGCTCCTCCTGAGCTTCCAAGCCATATTTGTGGCTCCCAGGGAATGTGTGCTGTTTCTCTCCCTAGCCTCTCTGCAGGAAGGCAATGAGACAAGGCATAACTGTGCTGCTGCTGCAGCAATCTAGGAAGACCGACTGGAGTCAGAAGATTTCTCTGAGCTCCACTAGGAGACCAGAGTGCTTGGAGAGACACTCCAGAGGCACTGCACAGTAAGGGAGGTATAAGCATTGGCCTCCATGCATGATGTGACAGTTCTCTGTGCGTGCTTTCCCAGGGCACCTGTGTTGTGGTTTAAACCAGAGAGCAGCTAAGCCCCACACAGCCACTCACTCACACCCCCACGGCAGGATGGAGGAGGGTACTGAAAGACTAAAACCAAGAAAACTCATGGGTTGAGAGAAAGATGCTTTAATAGCTAAAGCAAAAGGCTTGCATGCAAGCAAAGCAAAACAAGGAATTCATTCAGCACTTCCCACTGGCAGGCAGATGTGCACTCGCTTTGGGAGAGTAGGGCTCTATCATGCATGATGGTCACTTGGAAAGGCAAGTGCCATTACTCTGAATGTTCCCTTTCTTCCCTCTCCTTCCCCCAGCTTTATATGCTGTATGGAATACAATATCCCTCTGGTCAGTTGGGATCAGCTGTCTTGGTGTCCCCTCCCAGCTTCTTGTGCCCCTCCAGCCTCCTTTCTGGTGGGGTGTGATGAGGAACAGCGATGGCCTTGGCTCTGTATAAATTCTGTTCAGCAGTAACCAAAACATCTCTCTATTCCAACACTGTTTCCAGCACAAATCCAAAACACAGTCCCATACTTGCTACTATGAAGAAAATTAACTCTATCCCAGCCAAAACCAGCTCAACTTGCTTTCACCATAGTCACTCAACCAGACCAGAGAATATGGCTACAAATGTCTATCAACAGCTGCACACTGATGAGCCATTTTAGATGCAGCTGTCCTGAGCAGTACAGGTTTGCATACTCACTCAAGAGTTTAAACCTTTTGCCACCCATTTATTCACAGCACAATTACTGGGGAGTGTAGAAGGGAGCAGTCTTGGATTCTGGTTTCTGCTCCCCACAGCCATGATGTGTAATGAGCTCGTCAGTGAAATCCATCTCAGCCATGGCATGGGGGCTGGGAGTAGGAACCTCTCTGGTGCCAGCCTTGGGCTCCTGCTCCCAGAGTTTCTCACTGCCGCCAGCTCCTGCTGGGGCAATGCAGGTACCGAGGGCCGTGTGGGGCTGCCCACGGGCTCAGCCCGATGTCCCTGTGTGGCAGGAGGCCTCAGCTCCCTCTGCAGCAGCGCGAGCTGTCCTGCTCTGCTGCGTTGTGGGCCTGGCTCCTGCGTGTCCCAGCAAGGCCTCCCAGCGCCGGGGCCTCGGCTCCCAGCGGTGAGGGCAGCGAGGCCCAGAGCTCCCGACTTTCTGCGTCTCTGGCAGCAAGGCACCTTGTGGCTCACATAGGACAGCTCTGAGCACAGGGAGAAGGCAAATTGCAGTCATCCCCAGCTGATTTAGGTCCAATGCAAAGGTACTTGCTTGGTGCTGAAGCGTTTAGAAAGTGAGGAGTGGGCTTTTTTATTGCATTTCTCCCTGCAGACGCTCCATGTCACTCCACCCTCTCCTTCTTCATTAACTCTGCCTTGTTTTCAATTCCTTCCCAGTGTCCAGAGACCCAGCTCCTGGTGTGGCCAGAGCCATGGCAGGAAGAAGAGCGACCTTCACGTTCCCAGATACGTCCCTCTCTGTACAGCACAACTGCACTGGCTGGTCATGCTGTTAGATCATATTGCAAATTCATGTCTAATTTGACCCTGAGGTCTCCTCCAGCATTGTTGCTTTCTAGGATTCTCTCTCCCTTTGGATGTCTGTGTTTCAAATTACGTTTCCCTGGCTGTACTGTGTTACATTTTCCCATGAATGTCGTTGTTATTTTCCAGCTCTCTATTTTAAATCACACTGCTACATTTTAATCACTACTACATTTATTACCTCTGTTTTCATTGATGAGTTCATCTCCTTCTGAGAGTGAGGACTGTGAAAATAGAATTGTAGCTACTATCTGTATCTTCTTTGCTATTGCAATTGTCCAGCCCCTTCTCTCTCCTTCTGTGCTTTACTGAAAGCATTGAAGACGCCCAGTAAATATCCTCTATATGACACAAGCTGTCAGATTGTACCTTTCCCAGCTTCCTTTAGTACCTCTCCAGCATCTCTTGCCTTTAGAGTCAGTTTTTAACAAATCCACCAGGCCCATTTGAAGATATTTGAAGAAAGAAATCTCAGAAACACCATCTGCCAATATTTCAATGAACTTTACACTGTGAAAAGCTCCTTATTTTCTTAGACTGAATCTATACTGGTTTTAGGATGTTTTGCAAAGGAGATCTCTCGTGTGATGAGTCATCTGGTTTCCACACATTCCCAACTCAGAGGTGATATCCCCTGAGGTCTGGATGGAGCTTAATGCAGCAATCAGTTGCAGAGACAGCAAGCAGCTGAACCTTACCAGGACTGGACATCCATTTTAGTGAAATTAAACTCTAGATTGCTGTTGGCTTAGTTGGCAATTGCTTTTTCTACAGTTTATTTGACATTAGTCCTTCTCTCACTTGTCATTACAGTTTTGATTTAATATTTATATTTCAGTAGGAGACCACTGTCTAAGATAAGAAAACTGTATTTTCTTTACTCTGAGAGAAAATCCTGACATATTTGTAAGGCTTTGGCTTTTTTTTCCCCCTGACTAATCAGAGGGGGATCTCGGGCTTCATCTCCCTCGTCTTCTAAAGGATCAAAATGCTGTGCTACTGAAAGTCATGGGCATGGTAGAGTTACTCCTAATAAAGAAATTCAGAACAGATGTAACATATTCTTAAAACAGAACCATTAAGGCAGCTTTACAGGACAAAACCATAGGGTGGGGAAACTTAACATATATGTAATACATTGTAACAAGTTCTAGACAAGTATGTGAGTGTTACACAAGTAGTACTAAAGGGAGGGATAAGAACTGAACTACGTTTTCTGCTGCATATCCTGTGTGTCCGCAGCTCACATCAGCCATTCTAGAACCCCCAATATTTAGAAGGTTTTGAATTTGCTGTTTGTGAACAGCTCCCAGATCAAACACATGCACTCAGGGCAAGATTCCTCTGAGGTTTCCAGGGCTCTTGAGAGAACTAAAATTGCAAAGAAAATAGATTCACATAATGCCTTGATTTCACTGTCTCAAGGTGCTTTCAAATTTAATCCCAATTCTGTTCACAGAATTAGTTCACATACTCATGGCTATGCTTTCAGTCAAATATTTCTGTTGAAAATTCAGCATGACAGTAAATTAAAAGGAATTATTTTGGAAATAAAAGTGCAAACAGAGCCATTGATTTCTCAACACCATATTTTGTGAACAATACCTCCATCATAAAAATATTTTAAAAAGCCGTCCTCTCATCAGATGAGAGCCAAGAAGCTACCAGTTACCTCTTGCCCATGGTACCGCTCAGTCCAGTCCACTGTGGCTGGTGGTGGGATGCTGCTGCACTCTTGCTGCTCTATTCTAGTTTTTCCAACACCAAGCAGAGAGAAAGCATTTCAGTGTTCAGGCTTTCCTCAGTGTTGAACATGACTGGGAAGACCAGCAGTACAATTGGAGCATTGGTGGCAGTATTTATCAGTGTACAATTATCTGTACTCAGGTCCAAGTCTCAAAATGCATGAAGGCATCAGAGGGCACTGGTTTTGCTTTTCCCAAGAGTCAAATGTTTTGTTGCTAAAGCAAACATTAAAAAGAGAGAGAGAGAGAGAGAGAGAGAGAAAAGAGAACACATCCCATGATCCCATTCCCACAGGCCAGATTTTATTCTCATTTGCTCTAAAACCAGGAATATCAATAAAGTGGCACCAGTCTGACTGTACTTAGAATCAAATTTCTAACCTTGTACTTTCAGATAGCTCACTGCATTGAAATAAAGCAGTGGTAACATCAGGTTAAATCCTGTCTCACTCAATTTTGCCAGAGTATTTTCCATCACCTTCAGTGGGGCCAGGATTCCATACAGAATATTTTGCTTTCTTTTAGGGAAGAATTTGCATTCACCCATCTTAAAGAAAGTAGACTGACTTACTGGAAGTACTTACTGCCTGTGCTGAGCACAGAAACACCAACAGGAAACAATTGGCTGCATTAATCCTCACTGTTGGTTTTTGAAGTAAAAGTGCAGAGGGTTTTTTCCGCTGACTTTAGTTCTCATCTTTGCAACAACCTAGACATGCTTTAAACATAATCCGTGTGCAGAACAGGGTTAAAATATAAAATATCACAAACACAAATCCCTACACCGAGAGACCAGGGACTCGGGGAGAGAAACTGCTAAACTCTTCTTGTCAGTCTAGAAGCTATTCCACAGCTAAACCTGCTCATTTCAGAGATTTATTTTGCTAGAAAGGATTTTAATCTTCACATTTCAGTTCCTCAGAGGAGGCAAAAGTCTTCCAAGTGCAGAGTCTGCAGCAGCGGTGAATCAACTATTGTAATACGCTGCCTCTTAAAATACTTCAGGGTAGTCAGGCATTAGGAAGGCTCCTATTTTGTGTGAACTGATCAAATACAGATGTTGCCAAAGAGTTGACCTTATTGACCGTGACTTAACTAGAGATTGAATGGCAGACAGACGGTCAGTAGTAGGGTGAAACCATGTTTTGGCGGTAGGGTGTAAATGTATATACAGTTTACAGGATGTGAATGACACCAAGCAAACATCTGTTCTATTGATAAATACTTGTTTTACTTCCAAAAATTTTTATCCCAGGGAAACGGTATGTGTGTATATATATGTGTGTATAACACATTCTGCCCGATATTGTTAGGTGTCTCGTGTGCATGTTGTGGCCCTGGAAAATCCTTGAAATAGAAAAATATTAAAAATGGAACTAACTTTTCTTTCTTCCTGCAATATCAGATTTCATATAAAACTCATCAGCTGAGCTGAGTATTAGTCTTGATCAATGGCAGGAAACCAGGAGATCAAATGTTAATAAATCAGAAACAGATACCTCCACTTGAGCAGAGATATATCACCAACCTGAAAAATAGGGCAAATTATTTGACAAATTTTATATGCATACACCTAAAGAAAAAAAAAGCTTTTCATAAGATTCCTTGAAAACTGAAACAAAGGACAAGTGTGGAGAAAAAGTAACCTAACAAGGTAATGAACTTAGAACATGAAGTCAAAGAGTCCTGAAAACACCTTTGTTTTCTTTTGGATTGACATAATAAAAAAAAGATTAAATGAAAAGGCTTTTATTAATACAAAACCAACATATTTTGATTTGCAAATTAGCTCTGTCCTACTGCTATGTGCTGCTCACATGAGGGTAGTGAAATAACAGAGTAGATCTGGTTTAATGTGCTGTTACCTTTGCTCAAGAACTAAATAGTAACATCAGAATTACAGCAAAAAATGTACACCAGGTCTGAAGAGCTCAGAGAGACACAGTGCTTCCAGTATCTTGGAAACTTGTAAAGGCACAAGGACCTGCTTTAACTTTAATAATTTTAAGGTGTTTAACTCTGTTAGCTCAAAGTTCCTTATATTAATTTCAGACAAGCACCCTTGGAGTGTGGTCTTCTCTTCAAATTGAAACTATTTGCTCCTGTGCATAGCCTACTAAATTTAATTAGAAAATCCTGGTAGGCCAGCAGGACAAAATTTCCTTTCCTTCCTATTTTCCCCTTCTACAATATATCACCTAGAGTAATTAGGACCAGTGAGGGATCATCTTCACTGGATTAACCTTAACTAAATTGTATGCATTCAACATGTGCTCTTTTGATTAACTTGAGCCTGGACTGCTGCCTGTGGTACACCCACCTTGTAATTCTACACACTTAATTAATTTCAGATGAACAGCAAAAAGGATAAGCTGAATTCTCCAATTAATAAACTGATATTAGTTAATGTATTTTAGCTTAACTTTTAATTTTCTTCCTGTGTAGGGATAGGAAAAGCAGAAAACAGGAGAGAGGTGGAAGGGAACAAGCTTTGCCAACAAGCTTGTAATGACTTTTCAGGGCCTGATCCTGCAGCAGTCTAAGCAGAAAACTTTCCCCCCAACAAGGAGAGGAATTTTGGCAAAAGTATCAGTCCCTACATTTAAAGTATAAAATGCAATAGGCAGGAATAGGATTTTTTTTCTCTTTCAAAATGATAAATAAGCATTACTTAAAACCTCCTCACCTTAACTTGGTTTTCCATATGGTTTCACTCATGCGTGGGTTTTCCTTCTTATTAAAAAAAATACTATAATGTCACTGGCTATGGGCCCAATCCTCCAGGCCTTAGTCCCACAGGCTAAGGCTATTTTTCTCTTCTCTACTGTCATGGGGAGCTGCCTAACAGCCCCATCCTAGATGCATTTGCCCAGATAAGTAGCTTTGCTTTTGAATCTAGCCCTTGTGAATTCAATAGCATTTATCAGAGGAATTAAATTACTCATGTAGAAAAATATTTGCAGGAATAGATCCTAAAAATGTTACTGGAAACACAAAGAAAAATCCAAAGAAAGATGCAAGGGAAAAACTTCCTAGTTCTTTTTAAACTGGCTGTGAACTGAATTAATTCAGTTGCTAATTATTAAGCAGAAGTCTTAATCTTCTCTAAGCAAATTGCAGTGAATACTCATTTTCTTGTTTTTAATGTGTAACTCTGCTGAAATTTCTCTCCAACTTTAGTATGTGTTGCTTCAGTAAAATTCATAGGATTAAAGTGAAATCTGCATAAAAGTATTTTGCTGAAATGAAGATTGGCTGTTCAGTGTCCTTCAGGGTAGAATTTTGAGTGAGAGCAAAATCAAGTTCACAGAAAACAAGAAATATACAGTCATATATGGCTCTTTAATTAATTCCATCTCTGTAAAATCATTCACTGTTTTTCCTCTTCAGAAATCAATATTCTAACAAATGCTGCCAGAAAAAAACCCCCTAAAATATTAGCTACATAATTCTATTGAAGATATTTCTAAGTTAGATATCAACAAGCTGTTTGTGCATGATTTATATTGACTGCCAGTACTTGGTTTTTCTACTAATAAGAATAACGACAAATAGCTGCAAGCAATAAGATGGCCTAGCAAGACTTTTGTTTCCTAATTACTATTTGATTACTTCAATAGGTCATCAAGTGGTATTTTAACATTTGTCTGCTATTAAGAGATAGTAAATTATTTGCTGATTATTTGATTGATAATATTTCAAAAATAACAGGAAATTTATTCGGTAGGAGCATTATATAAAATTTTCCAAACACTTAAATAATGAGGTTTTTCGCTCTCTGCAAAAGGAGCTTTGACACCTTAATCACTTCAGTGATCTCCCAGTTCTTGTGGATACCTTTGACAGCTTTACCTTCCACCTGTAATTATTTAAAAAGAAATCAGACAAAACAGTTTGAATAGCAAAACCCCTTACGAGAAGGGAGGAAGATAAAGTGTCTTAAAGTAAAGTTGTCAGTATTTTGGGTCATTTTAAAACCATGGAACATATGAAACTACTGCCAAATTTATTTTGATAAAATTAATTTAAAGAAAAAAAAAGAAAAAAAAGGCTTACATTTTAAAGTGTCTGTTTACAAACACTTGTGAAGATTCAAAGAACACTCCTGATGCAGAAAAAAGAGCTGAGAGGGCAGAAAAGAAAGGGTTGCTTAATACTGACTTACCTTGTAGCCAGTCGGTGTGCGAGATCTTCTGGCTGAATACATTGTTTTTATTAGTGTCAGGTACTTGATTTAAAGTGAGACCTCGTCACCTTCCAGAGAGATATTTTTCCTGGAGTATATGCACGTATCTATTTATCTATTGAGTGTGAGTGTGTATATACACACACCTAGCAGCAGGCCTGGTTAGTGTCGGCTTGACTGAGAAAGGATGTTAGTAATTACCATTTCTCTAAACACTACTTTAGCATAGTTTAGTGTATCAGCTGGCTTCTGCTGCCAGAGTACCCGTGCTGCCTACTGGAAGTGGCTGTAAAGCCAAAAGCCACAGTAAGAGCTCTTTCCATCTCCAAGGAATTCAGTGGATTTGCTGTTGATTCCTGAGAGTGGGAATGTGCTTAGCTGTGTTTCGGGGTGTCCATGCCCGGTGGGGACCATCTTTGGGCAGTGCTGTGTGAGGCAGCCCAGGACTGGTGTAGGACACAGGCTGTTTCCTGGACTGGGGTGTGCCAGATGGGAGAGACTGGAATCTTACCCACACTGCGTATGCCCACTGAGCCAGAGCTGGTCCCACTGGTCACAGAGGAGAAATTAAGCTTTTGCTGGTGCTGAAAACAGCATTAACAGCAGCTCTGTAGGACCTGGAACTTTCCCCACACCTGCACAGGGATGCTTTTGCAATGGACTTTCTCTGGTTCCCCATTCCTTCCTTGTGAATGTGTTTTCCAAGGGTCACCCTGAAACAAAGAACACAAGCTGAGAGCTGTTAATCTAGCAACTGATGCTGTAAACTCTTACACAGCTATTTTTCCCTTTTGCAGGCAACATTTCTACTGTTTTACAAACACATCAAGTGAAGTTCTCTTAAATTGACACTAAGACAAAAAACAGCCTGTGTGCATTAGCAGTAGAATGAATCCATGTTAAGAAGAGCTTCTGGTATTACATTTTATGAGTCCAGTAAATCAAGAGCATTAAGGAAAAATAGGACATTGCTGTTTCATGTGGTGTCTGCAACACAGAAATTCTCTCATGCAACACTGAGAAAAAAAAAGAAGTAAATATTCCCCTCATATTTATTATTTTATAGTTGGATCACTTTTGAATCTCTCTTAGTTCTGAAGAGCTGTTTGAAAAAACAGGTCTGGGGTTTTTGTTTTGTTTAGGGTTGTGGGGTTTTTTTCTAATGTTTGTGTGGTCTCTATAGTACCTTTCCCACGAAAAGGCAAAGCTTGCCTGGTGAGGTGTTACACAACACTCTCCTTTCCCATGTTCTCTATATGTGTTGATTTTTCTAAAACAGCTCTTGAAACTCTTCTTTATGTGCTTGAGAGGCTTCCATAGTTTATCACCAGCTGGAATGTTATTAATGTTTAATTTTTACCTTGAAGTATCCGTACATCAAATCATTAATCTTTATTGTTCAGTTTTGACTACAGTATTATTAAACAGTCTATTAAGCAAAAAAGAGATCTAGGGAATGTATAAAAAGGCGCAGTATTATTCTGATGACAGCTTCCTGGTGGTCCATCATATATAAAACCAGCTATTAGGAATATGTTTCAAACTGGCACTGTAACACATATTTCATAGTTGTTAAATTTAATTGTATAAATAGTTACTGACTGTATTTGGACAGTTTTTCAAAAGTGAACGTGTAATATATCACCCCATGAAAAACATTCAGGGAACATCCTCAACAACCACAGCTAGGAGACAACCTTCATTTTTTTGTCAATAGTATCTACAGCAATTAGCTCTGATATTGAGCTAAATTAGAACTTGATCCTTCAAGCATTTATACACATGAGTAGTCCCATAGGGACCAATCAATATGCTCTGTAGTCATGGAAATATTCACATGCATATGGTCAATCACAAGTATACATTTTTCAGGAATAGGGTGTTTTCTCTAATAGTGAACCATTTTTAGGGTTCAATCCTTCTTTCTCTGAATTTTGGTAGAACAACCCATGTTAGTCAGTGTAGTTTTTTTGGCAAATGTAAGATAAATTCTGAAAACAGTAAACATATTTTTCCTTTTAGTGCAGTGACTGCTCTTAATATTAAACCCTCCACTTCACATGAATATCTACCCAGCAGGGTGATACAGAACACAAGATAACTCAGCCATAAAGTGACTTTTCTGTAGCCTATATGGTTCTTCCAATATTGACATGCACTCTGCATACTTTCAGTTGTTTTCTTAAAAGGGAAGGTAATGCCTTGGTTAGGTGCAAAGTATTCTTGCATAGGCAAGAGCCAGTGAAATGCAGTGCCTTTTGCAGCAGACATTTCTAAGCTGTAGTAGAGTTGGTCCTATTTATTGAATGACTTCCACCAAAGGTAGAACACAGATAAAGCTGCTGCTTTCAATTATGCAATCAAGAATGTAAAAAAGCAATGTTGTAGATCTCATATGGAAATAATTATATTTGATAAACTGTGTCAAACAACAACAGTGTTTGTCCTAATCACATTTGAGAAGGCTGCTATTGCAGTTGATTTTTCTAGAAAATGGAAAACAATGAATTATAAATTCCACTGACCTATCCCAAACCGTTCTGCTTAATCAACTGAGTTCTAAATAATTGTTGGCTTAGACAGTAATCCAATATGTTAGTTCCACCAGATTCTCTGCCATCACAGTTCAAGAAATCAATATTAAAGCTAAAGAAGACTCCTACTAAGGACTCTGCAGTAATGACAACTTGATGCCCACCCTGCTATCAAACACCGTGGCTTGCTTTAAATGTATCTGTTGCATTCACTGTTATAAAGATCAAAGCTTTTGGGCCAAGAACTTTTAAGAGGTTCCCTCTTCATAGATTTTTCAACTCTTTGTGGCAGGTAGGGGCTGAGAACTTCCAGCTCTGGATGCGGTTGAGAACAGAGCACTCTGAAAATATGTTTTGGTCACATCACCACATCAGCTGAGTTGTCTCCCCTCCCTCCTTCCCCTAGGAGGCTACTCACCCTGGCTCTGCCCTCCTCCAGTGGGGATCCCCAACCCTGCTTACTGAACCAAAAGGGATCCCCATCCTGGCCACCTGCCCTTTCAGGCCCCACACAGGTCAGCCTGTGACATTACCAGCTCCAGAGCAGTAGGCACTGCCACCTCCCCTGCCCTTGCAGGGACAGGTAGCACGTGTACAAGTACCATGAATAGTCAGTGTGCTGTGGGCTCCACAAATGCCACCAATAATCTCTAAATCAGGCAGCACAGAGAACAGCCTGACTACAAAGCCAGCAAGGAACAAACGTGTTTAAATATCAGTAGGAAATCTGCTGTATAATTGCTCATGGAAATTGGCAGCTAGTGAATTAATCAACATGGATCTACTACTAAGCAAGAAGTAGGAATCAAATTATCTTAATAAATTACAAGAGGAGGTTTCTCTCTCTCATTGCTTCTCCTTGAATGACTGTTTGAGACAGCATGAAACTCTTTGTCTGTTATCCTAATTAGATCCTCTAATCTTATAAAAGGTACTACTTCTGAGAGAAAGCCATGTGTATAATATAAAACCATGCATTTTTGTATAGTACAGATAATCACCAAAATGGCTATACTTTTGTAAATTAATTAAAAACATTCATGGAAGATTAAAGCTAGAATATATTAATAGTTCAAGATCCTAGGATATCACATATTTTCAGTTTGCTATTTTAGGGGGAAAAAAGTCTCAACACAATGATTTTAACTCACATTCTTGTTTTCCAGAAATTTTGGTTTTGTTTTTTTTCCATTACCATTTCCTATAAACAGATATAAGTAACATACTTACACTTCAGGAATGTCTTCATTTTTATCCTGGCATTCACATCTGTCCCTGTTTAATGCTCTGCTGGTGGTCTGGCTCCATGGTATGCCCACTGCAATGTTCATCTTAAACAATATTTACATTGATTAGGGACCCCAGTGCACTAGAGGCACTTACTAGAAAATGAACACAATACCCTGGGATAACAGCGAACATCTAACTGTTTTATTTTTGAACATTTTTTGGACTGTATTGTTTAAGTGCATAAACACTGTCAAAATGGAAAGGTGGGGGCAAAGGACACTGTGTGAATGTATAATATAAAAATCTGTGTGGAAAATGTGCAGTTGATAAACATGTAAGGAATGGACACAGTGATGTATTTTTATTCAAGTTATAATAGTATGTGTTGCAAATCAGAACATTTTCTTCTATGTGCATGCCCTGTAAAATTCTTTCCTGGCACTAAAATCTTATAAGCTTAGGAAGATAAAACTGGAGTAGGAAAGCATATTTGCAAAAAACCCCTCAACAATCCTATGGCAGGATTCAATATTTTGCCTTACATCACATAACATGTTAGTGGCAAACCAAAGTTGAAACCTACATTTTGTTCTGAATGTGAAGAGTACCATAGGGATATAAAGGTCTTTTCAGATTGAGGACCTGAGCTGCTAAATTTGGAAATATTCTAGCTGAGTGGTACTATGCAACACCATGACAAAGCTCTTGTGAAAGCAGGCTGAAAAAAATCAGAGGGTAGCTTGGGAAAATTGCTTAAAGCAGGTTTAATATGGGACCCCAGATCTCCAGTTGGGATGATATTCATTAGGTCACTGAAGAATAGGGACCACAGTCCTAATGAGGAGCAACTGTATAAACTAAGATGATGCTTGAGCAATTGCTATTTTTGGTCTCCCAAAAATCTAGAATTTTCATATCTGCCAACAGAAAAATTTAAATGTTACTGTGTGGGAGCATTGTTTGGGTGTTCAGACACACTTGGAGCGCAAGCAGAGCAACAATCTGCAAGGAGTCAGGGAGAAGGGATGTCAGATAATGGGGTGTTATGAAGCTCAGAGCTGATCAATGGGTTTTCTCTCCTCTACCTTCACCTCTTGTGTCTCCAGTTGCATCCTGCAAGGAAAAAGTAAGTTGGAGGAGAGACATGGAACGTTTTTAAGTTCCAGCTTGCCGAGGGGCTTCATGTACATACTGAACAGGCCAGTCCTGAGAGCAGCCGCTTCTCTGGGACCTCCCAGGCAAGAACAGTGTGTGGTCTGAGAGCAAAGGCTGAAGCCATAAAGTCCAAGCCCCTCACACCAATCTGAGCTCAAGGAGAGCATGTGTCCTCAGGGTGCCATGCCACAGATGTCAGAGAGATCCCATATCTTTAAAGTGGACATAGAATAAGGAGCTGATCCATCATTGTAGTCAGGGTATCATATAATAGAGGTGCTGGTGATATCTAAAAGCATTAGCAAAGTCTGCCTTCTTCCTCAGGCTCAGAATAGCAGTTTCTGTCTTTCTATGAAAAGTTGCTGGAGCACTTGATGTTCCATAGAATTTTATTAAGAGAGAGACTCTTTCCAGCTTTCTCCTTGGTTCAGAAAGGGTTTGAGGTGACCAGAAAATTCTTAGCTGAGAACCACGATAGTAGGAAACACACAGTCCTTTTTCAGGACAGCTTACAAATTTGCTTTTATGCATACAAACTATTTATATATGTGCTTCTACCTGCTCAAATCTGCACAAAAGCTGATCAATATATAACTATCTTAGCAAAGATCTTGTGCTGATTTATTAGCTGAAGAGTAACATGCATTCTGCTGCTCTTTACTAAAATGTTGCTGTTGATGATGGAGAGGGAGATAATTTATTTTCAGCAAAAGATGGAAAAGCACTCTCCTGAAAAATACCCTTTTGAATTAAATTATGCTCTTGTATTTTTTTAATCTCCGAACCCTGTACATAGCACATGAATTATCCCAAAAACTCAGGGAGGGGAAAGAGAAGTCATTAAATGCTGGGAACCAAAAGAAAGTTTACAGGTACAAAATGTCACTTTACTGCAGCATACGAGTAAAAAACCATCTATCTGAAAAAGTGATTGATTCTGACATATGTGAAGTAGGTATAAGCAAATCAAAAGTGATCCCTCTAAATCTTGTTTTGCAACATGTGTAAAATAATGCAAGCTACATATTTAAGATGCAAGCCAAATTAAATATGGTTGTGTTCAATCTGTCTGTGAAATGAGATCTACTGCTACTTTTTTATGTCACAGAAATTCCCTAGGACTCTTTTATAACTCCTTCTAGTTTATTTTTTAATATTAAAGATGGAAAAGACCTCTTTCTGTTTTGCTGTTCTCTACCAGTGAGTCATGGGTCCCTTGCTGCTCCGAGAGGAAAGTTGTTTTAGTAATTCTGGAAATAACCTTACTGCTGAGTCAGCATCACAACAGAAAATGACAAGTTTCAAATTAAGAAACACATTAGAAACAAGAAGTAATGGTGTATCTCTCAGCGTCCCCCCTTAGAACTGGCTGGCATGTCAGGAGCTGATTTAGCAAGTTCCATATGTATTGGACATGAGAAAGGTATATAGGTAGGAGAAAAAATCAGGTTCATTTAATGGGAAAGAGGATAAAAGAAACCAAGGTAAAATGTAGGGTAAAGATGGAAGCAGCCTTAAATATTTTACTGACCATGGCACTCCACCCTGAAATGCTTAAATGCGTCCCTAAAGTAGATCAATATAAAGAGATTTTTGCTTTCGGCTTTCTCTGCTAGGGGTTTTCAAAACAAGCAATTTTAATAGGATTTCTAAGTCAGTGTATACTTACAGATAAACCACTGGGACTTTGCTACTCTGTTTATCTGGGATTCTAGATTTTACGGAGCAAATAATTGGAAACAAAACATTTCCCAGCAATCAGTCTACTCTTTCTGATTTGCTAAACATGTCCATATGTAGTTATTGCTTGTATTTGGAAGATTGGTAGCAGTTTTAGAGGAGAAATATGCTACAACTGCAAATTCAAGTAGTCATTTGGCAATCATATGGGGAAGCCTTTGCAGTTTGTTTTGGTAAAGGGAACTCAGGAATTTAATGCTACTTATACCTTAATATTGAACAACATTTTAAATGGCTAGAGTAATATAATCAATTTTTCAAACAGTACCTAATACCTAGCTGTGGAAGAGAAAACTGCTGCATCCTTCCCCTCTGCACGTTTGGACCTGATTCTGCCCTGTCAATTGTCCACAGATCACCTCTGCAGCCACCATTGTGATGGCACCAAACCCTTTGTGTTCTCTGAAATCTGAAAGAGCTTTTGCTAGTGACCTGTTTTGACAAGACTTAAAGGCTAGTGAAATCCTAAGACTGATTTCAATTTAATCTGAATTTGAGTAATTAAAAAAAATTAAAAGCAGTCTCTATTATACAGAATTTCTTGAAATATTGCAGTTCTCTGATTATAATTGGTGTTTCAGCACAGCGAAATGCTTCATATTTGCATGAAGTCCCTCCTGACTGTACAGAAGCTCTTGACTGGAATCTTTCACTGTCTTTATTTGTTTCTTTTCTATCTTTAAATACCTCACTGAAGAGCAGACCTGAGGCTTACTGAAGTCTTTTAAAAATACATAAATATTTTCCACTAGTAATAACATGGTACTAAATATTGAAATGACTTTACATTTAAAATGTCACTCTGATTTAAGCTACAAAATTTTTGCAGAGGAGGAGAAAATATTAGTGCTAAATAATGTGCTTGCTAAATAATTTTACACAAAGAGTATTAAAAATTATAGCTTAAAAACTCAACATTAACATTCCCTGGGACTTTTTACTAGCAAGTGTCACTATGAAAGATAATGAAAAAACTTACTGTAAAATCTCTGAATCCTTTTTGTTTTCTTTCCTTCTCTCTTGCTGTAGCATTAATATGTGCTCAACAGTCAGAATTGTGCAGAATAAAAATATTCCAAGACACTGTAAAAGCGCCTTTCCCTTTCTCCCAGCCCGAGGGAACACTGACTATTTCAATAATCGGTGCGAACTCTTTGGTTATGATTTCTGTTTCCTCTCTCTGTTTCTCCCTCCCTCTCAATTTTTTTCCACCATCGTATGAGTGTTTTCTCAATAAAGGAAGTAGAAAAGCTGCATGACAGCATTTATTGAAAAAAAATACAAAATGCGTATTAAATGAGAGAGAGTTTAAAAAGAAAATATGAGGCGGGAATTGCAGTCTTAAGAGAGGGGCGGAAAGATGGCAAATACTACAGGAGAGCAAATTATAAATACTGAGCTTTTGCTCAGCATGAAAAACAGCACCTATAGAGCAAAAATTCCATGCGTTTTACCTTCATCCTAGTTTCACTGGGGATCAGTGCTCCGACTGGAATAACTGTGAATTATCGTCACTATAATGGAATCCTGCAATTTACCAAAAGGAGCAGGAAAAATGGACTTTCGCTAGAACTTTCATACTTTTCACTCAACCTTCACTAGTCAGACATATGGACTATGTTAGCACTTCGGGTTACTGGCCCAAAGTCAACATTGAAAATTAATTTCCCAGAAATACAGAAATTGCCATTTTTCACACCTTAGGTAAGGAAGGCCAAAACAAGTAAAGCTAAAAGTATTCAAATGCTAGTTTTGAATCAGTTGATTTCCTCTGAAATAGCAGCTATACCAGGATGACAGAAATTTTTGTATACAAAGGCATGTGACCCATTGCAAACCTGGTTATAATTACGGATTTCAAAACAGTATCTAATAAGCCGAGACCCAGACAGCAGTGCACAGCAGTGGAACATGTCCAGTATTCATTAAAGATGTCCAATCTAGAAGTCCAGGGTTTAAAGACAGTTTTCAGACACAATTTTCCCACTTGTCTCAGGAATAAGGTAGAATAGCAAAAACAGAGGTAATAAAACGTGGTCAACCTCAATGACTTGGCATGCATTCTTGGCAATAGCAAAATAGAGAGACCACAGCTTAGCTAGCTCTGAGAGTGAACTTGCAACACCCTGAATTTTGCATCCTTTTTTTCCTGTGGCTGTTTTTGTTGGACCAAAAAAATAATCCATTTGCTGATATTTTCAAAGATGACACACCAAAACCTCATCTACCATAAAAATACACACAAATGCACCAGTGTCTCTGGGAAATAGCACATTTCTCTCTGGGAATTATTTTGATTCACCAATTATCACAAAAAATGGAAAGACATATTGATATCCAGTAAAGATGGAAGAAGTATTATGGCGTGGAAGGATAAAATCATGATCCTTTACTTGGCTCTTCTGTTAAAGGTTTTAGGCCCATATGAGAACACCTCTGGCTAGGTTGCCTGCACTGTCTGAACCTGTAAACCCCGGATTCAAAATAAGGCTCTTGGAAGTAAAAGGTGAAGCCCATTAGTGAATAGACAGAACAGACTTGTAAAATTCCATAACTGCTATTGCCACAAAGGGGGAACATGTCCCAGTGCCGGAGTGGGAAATATCCGGATTAACTATCCAGCCTATGGTTGCCAAAATGAGAACCAAAAGTGCACTGTGTGAGTAGATCCATACATAATCATCCAGATGAGCTTTTACCTTTGGGTTTCGTATTTGTAATAACTTGCCCAAATGTCAGTATAATTTACAGTAATAAAGCCATGTGCATTTGCCATTATACAGTCTTTGAAAAAAAAAAAAGCATCTTGGACACATGACAATGGTAAACATTACCTCCAAATGGTGCTTATTCGTAGGAAAAAGCCCTCTTGTTTTAACAGACAGGCATTTTCTGATGAAAGGGTCTTTTGCAGGTGTACCTCTCATTGAAAAATACCCTATTTGGTTCCTGTGAAAAAAACCAAGGTTGACTGTTTAGGAGGCTGATGTCCCTCTATTACAAATCCATACTGCAAAAAACACTAAGGAGATTGTGACTTTAAAAGAACGAGTTTCATTGTTTGGCTTCAGCACAGCGCGAGAGGGGTGCAGAGGGTGAAATCTCTGGATCATATACCAAAATAAACACTTCAAATCTAATATACACACACAGAGAATTGTTAAAGTGTAACATTCCATAACCTAATATAAATTTTAGTACAACTTAATCTGTTAGAAAGAAAAAAATAGTCAACATGCTTATAATATGTAATCTTTTAAATTGATTAGAAATATTTCTCTAGACTGAGCAATTTCTGGCTTCTGAAAGTGCACAGGTAATCTGTGTCATTCTGAACCATGCCCAGAACTGTAGGTCAATATATACCAGTCCTGTGACATGAAGGTCTTACTTTTATGCTTGAAGACCTTTTCCAGTCAAGCACAGCACAGGATTGAGAGCAGAGGCCATGATGATGTGTAGGTGCTGAGAGATCCACTCAGCACCTTGAGAGGTCAGATTGCAATGCCCTGCAACCAGCACAGCAGGGTGCAACACAGTATAAAAATTAGATTTGCCACCCAAAAAAAAAAGAGAAAAAAGAAAAGAAAAAAGAAAAAGTGACTCACTTTCACTGAAGTTTAGACATGTCAAGGAACTAAAGCCATTTGGGTCCTCACCAAGCTACCATGGCAATATCTTGAAGTTTTCCCTCAAAAGCAGATCAGAATTTAGCCAGGTTTCTGGAGCAAAGCATGAAATCAGTTAAAGTAAATAGCTTCCCATTTCCCTCTGTTTCACAACAGCTTCCTTCTTCTTGTGCTGGAGTCCTGGGGACCCAGGGACGACTGGGGCCGCCTGCCTCCCGCTGCGTGCCTGTCCAGCTCTGCCCTTGTGTGGCAAAGGTCCATGGGGATTTGCCAATTTGCTCGCTCTGACAAGAGGAATATCTCAATTACAAGTTCTCACCAAGCAGCTAGAAACCTTTGGTTTTTTTGTTTCTTGGTGTGTGCTGAAGGAATTTTATGGAAAAAAAGAGAGACAGAGAGATGTGAAGGCAGACCAATGTTTGCAGTTATCAGGCAGGGCTTTTGTTGCTGAAATAAGTCCCACTTTTAAAGTAGAACTTGTATTTTAACAGCTACTGAGGTTTTCCTCAAAGTGAAAGAAAAACTACTGGGTATCTTCCAGAAATTTTGTTTTTTCTGTCCCTTACACATAATCTCCTAAGCTGATTCTCATCAGAGGTAACTTCAGCCTGCCCTTTCTATTCTTCCAGCTCCTCTTGCATCTGTTCCTCTCCCCCACTGCTGGTATACAAGACTGAACTAGTGCATGAGAAGGCAGGGTGTTTGCTTTCAAACAGGAAGAAAAAAGGACAGAGTCCATCTGGGGTACGAATTTAACCATGGGTTCCTTGTATGACTCAGTGTGACTATGTACCATCCTAATTTCCCCTTGAAAATCTGACACGGATGGAGGCTGTTGAATACATTCATGCTTGAAGTGAATTTAAGCAACACTGTGCTAAAGGGCAAGGAGTGCTTCATTTCAGAGGGAGGTCAGACTCTCCTGCTATCCCAAGATGTCATAAGGAATGACTAAAAATAGCTGCCAGGAGTGGATTCCTCATTTGCTGTGTACCAATTAAGTGGGACTGAGCATGGCTTAGGTCATGTATAGATGGTTGTAAATGTAAACGCAGCCAGGCTCTTGCATCCCCCCCTCCTGAGGAGGCTGAGGAGATGGGCAGACCCCTCCAGCTGTGCTGTGCATATGCCTCCCTTCACCCTTCCTGCTACAGATTGATGCTCCCAGTGAGCACTGGTACGGGGATGGATGGCATCCAGAATGACTCATAACAAAGAGCATATGGCAGGACTAGATGTAGCAATCTAACATCTGTTGCACTGCTTATTATTAACATTTCTCACTTCTCTTGGAGCTAGTAACCAAAACTAATAAATATAGTCTTCACAAATCCTACCTGAGGAAATCCCATATCCTCTTGGATTTTTCACCACTAATTGTGTTCAGTGCAAAAGATGAGAATTATTTTATTCTTTAGGCATTTGAAACAATCCAAAATTCTCATTCAGAGCTGTTTGAACAAGTTACAATGAATAATAACTTCTCTTTTAGTTTATTCACATCTTAAAGATTTAAATGGCTCCTATTCCACATCCCAAGAGCTGAAATTTTGTTGTTGCACTAAGGTGAAGGGGATGAGTAAAAAACAAACGGGATGAAAAAGCATCTTCCAAAAAAGTAAAGAGAGTATCGGTTCTTTGTATAGTCTCCCATGCAGTATGGTAACAGCAGCTATACCTAACAAAGGAACCATTCCTGAAGGAAGTAAGAATGACCTCTATTTAAATTATTTTTTTGCTCAGATCATTTTTTTCAGAGAGAAGTGGGACTGCAAGTGCAGACATGTAAAAATGGAAAATCAGCTGATGAAGCAGCATGTCCACTTTGTGAAAGATTCACTGAGTGACAACATGATATATAGTGGGCAGCCCCTCACAAACAGAGATTAAACCATGTATCAAAATTAACACTGGCCATAAAAAGGTATCCAAAGAACAGTGTTGTGACTGGATGATCTAAGTTACTCCCTTTCAGCCGAGAGATGGAAATAGTTGCCAACAAAAATGTTAGGATTTGACAAGACTTGGCAAATTGCTGGGATATAAAATCATGTTTTGTGAGTTATAAGGCCTTCCAGGAGATGTGACAAATCCTGAAAAAGGGTGGAAAAGCATGCACAGCCCACAGAAACTTACTCCCTTTTCATGGACCTGCCAAAAGAAAGGAAATATGAAAAAAAAAGTGCACAAGAGACTTGCCAGTGACAGACTTACCATTTCATTTAATAAGCACACTTCATAAAATGTTGAAAAAATTATTGTAATAAAGACTATGCATATTATTATAAACAGTGACTAGCTCAGAAAGCAAAAGTGTTAAATTTTTGCCCTGGAGACAGAGAAACTATTGATATTGGGATCAAATGTCCTAACCCAAGGAGTCACACCTAAAAAGGATTAAAATCCCATTATTGGTTCTCTCTATTATGTATAATTTTCCTCCTTCCCTATCCCTTAAAAACTGA